GATTAAGAATTGGAAGGGGATTGTTAGTGGGAAAAAAAAAATAAATAATAGAAGATGAGCCAATCAAGTGTAATGAGGTTTATGGTAAAATTGAGATAGATGGTCATAGGGATGAGTGTGATTAGGTGTGATTAAAGTAAAATTGAGATTGATGTAATGTTGCCACATATTATATATATATATATGAGAGGGTAATTTATATGAAAATTGGGCCGAGCTGGGTAATGGGCCGTAATACAAAGGGCTGAGTAAAAAGGCTGTAGAGTTAGTCCGGTCCAAGAGCCCCGAAGCTAGTTCGGCCCGAAGGAAACTTGAAGTTAGTCCGGTCTAAAGACACTTTGAAGTTAGTCCGGTCTCAGAGTTAGCCCGGTCATGGCGTATTGTGGTTAGACCGGTCAGAACCTTTCTACTCGGTAGCTCGGTCTAACCACGCCATTCTGTGTACATGAGAGAACCGAGATAAGGTGTAGCGAAAGGAAGAACCGAACTAAGGATAGTTCGGCCTACTTAGCGGCTCAGCATAACCATGATTACTCCGGTCATATTGGAGTTCGGCCATGGTAAAAACCATCTCACTTGGTTTAAGCAGTGAGAGGGGTGTTGAAGGATAAGCATTATCTTTCAGGAGTATGAATCCTAAGAGGACTCTGCATGGAGGAGTAGAAGTCCTACTAGGATTGTGCCACACGAAACCTATAAAAGCTTACAAACATCACCTTTGGAGAGGTAACACAACTTTGCTTTCTGAATACACAGAGCTTTTGTCTATTTGTCAAGCTTACTGACTTAGGCATCGGAGAGGTTTCCGGCACACACCCGCCGGCTAGCTCACGTTTGTGTTTTCAGGTGATAAAGCGACGACGTACAGAGGAGTGCAGACTTGATCAACAGGATTATACGAGAAGGTTTATTTCTTTCCCGTACAGTATATATATTTGAGGAGATTGAACAAATAGCTTACATAAGTATCAATTTAAAAGATTACGATCTAAATTGAATAGAATTAAAATTTTAAAATTTGATTTGTTATAAAGATCAAACTCTAGTGTTGGTTTTGTAATTTTTCCAGTTTTTCTTCATATTAACCTCTTTTCCTACCTAAAATATACCTTGAGCAATATTTTAAGAACGGATGCCAATTTCTCTCCGCTCTGAATCTCTTACTTCACCTCGGATAGATTTCCCCGCCACAATAAAGAAGTAAGATGGGGATGTATTTTCCTTCTAACACTTTGTTTTGCCTTTGCTTGTCCCGATTGTCTTTATTAAATATATTTAAATAGAATTTTTTTTCAATATAATAAGATTAAAATGCTAAAATATTATACCTTAACATTCATTTACACCTTTTTATTTGGGTTAATTGGTGAAAAGTACACAGTTATGGGGTTTTATGTTATTTGTTCCAACATTTAATCTTTTTTAGTGATAAGGATATGTATTAAAAATTCGCGAACGCTGAAAAATTGACTGAAAAAGTCATCGATAAAGTTGTCGGAAAGTCATCGGTGGCAAGCTTCGCGGCTGATGGCGGTGAGGTAGATATATAGTTGATATTAGACATATAAGTGTATGGATAGATGACACATGGACAAATAGGTAATATTTGGACAAATAAATGACATTTGGATTGATAGATAAATAGATATCCTTTTAGACAGATAATGTCATTTTTACACCCAAAAAATTTAAGTTTGAACCTATTAGCTCAATAGTTTTAGAAGTGGACCTTTGCTCTAAATGCATTTTTCATTTATCATATTACATTTTTCAAGTCTCATAATTTATAATCATTACCTATTTTTCATTTTTATAGTACCGTCATTCTCAAAATTACAAAATAAATCTGTCTCTGACATTTTCCCAATTCGCCCTACCTCCAATATGATACGAGTAAGAGTAGGGATGGTGCTTCACCCATTGTCACCCTTATTTTATACAGTAGTTAAGGTATTGTCATTTGATTCATTTTTTAATTGTGATTGATTTAAAAAGTGGAATTTATTAGTTTTGAATTAGTGTTTGAAAGAAAAATATTTAAAATTACTAATTTCTTTTTTTCACAATTTAATCTTTAATGATATGACAAGTTAAGTGTTAATTTTTTTTATATGACAAATGCTAATAAATGTTTCATGGGCATTGTTTAATGTTGAGAGGTGTGCAAAAAATATCTTGAAAGTATGTAAAAAAAATAAAAAATATATTGATTTCAATAAAGTTATATTAATGTTAATGAAAAGTGTATTGTGTTGTACACATATTTTCTCTTGTGATATATTATAAGTGAATTTGAAATAACATGGAAATGTAATTATTTTTAATGTGTGAAAACTGCCTCATAGTACATGGCAACGTTGTATCTATCTACAGTATAGTTCTAAGAAAATTGTAAATTAGTAAAATAGTGAAAAAAATATTTTTATTTTTATGATAGTACAAATTTTTGTTTGCATAATACAAGTCGTTTTTTGTGCTGAGTGCAAGTAATTTTTTTTATGTCAAAAATCACCTATAATGTAATTATTATATTTTACTCCCTCAACTAAAAATTGAAACACCTAATCCCCCCCCCCCCTCATCTAGTAATTTTTTTCAATTTGAACATTTATGACAAAAATACCCCTTTATGAATAGGATAAATTATACTTACCCCCTTGAACAATCACCCATAGGGGTGTTCAGTAATCCGAGCCATCCAAGGTTTTAAACAGTGGCTGCAATCGTTACATGACGCCGTTACGTAACGGTTGTGGTAGTTACCACCACTCGTTACAACCGCTATAGTGGTGACAAAAATTCACACATGTAACGGCCGTTTTGATGTTACGTAATGGTCGTAATGGTCCATTATACACCGTTACACCATTTTATAATATCCTAAATAGTTTTTTTTTCCTAAAAATTAAAATAAAAAAACTTAAAAAAAGAAAAACAAATACTCAAGTGATCCAAGCCCAAAGAAAAAATCTTATATGAAATTTTTTTCTTTATAATTTTTTTAAAATTTATGGCACAATTTTTATTTTATAATCATTTTATTTAATAATTGTGAATATTTTTTATTCAGTTAGTTAGGTATTGGTAAAAAATAATTTGTAGATATTTAAAATCAATTATTCTTAAAATCATTAACTATTGAAATAAAATGTAAAAAGCTCATTTTCTAGTGATTTGAACATATGAAATATATTGGATCATACTTAAAAATTAATAAAAATTAATAATTTTTTTTTTATTTTAAACCTCAATAAATGTGATTCTAAATATATATATATATGCGTATTGCTAAGTTTTCTTCAAATTATGCGAAAAATTAAAAAAAAAATAGTTTTGATTGTCGCAATCGTTACGCTATGGCCTTTATACGCTGCAACCGCTACCGCATTGCTGAAACCATTATGACGACCGAAACCACTTTTTAACATCTTGGAGCCACCTGATTAAACTGACCAGACCCATCCGACTCAACTCTAGTTCGGTTAGGAACATGTGTGGTCGAGGAGAACCTATTAGATTCGAACCGAATGAATATATATAAATTAGAGTAATGCTATAAATCTTAAAAGTTTTATCAAAATTTTTATCAAAATTTTTACCAAATGTCTCACATGAGTGTGGGACCTACACAATGTGAGTCCTATGTGAATCACATACCCTTATGAGATATTTGGTAAATTTTTGAGATCTCTAGTATTTTTGTATAAATTTTGTACCATTTCTCACATGTTGCCATTTGATTGGGTTTATGGTTTACACTTCATATTTCTTAGACTTTGGGGTTGTTTGGGATGTGCAATATAAGTGTAATTTTTGAATTTTTGGCGAAAAAGTAAAGAAAAAAAAAAGTATATTTGAGATACTTTTTGACTTTTTAAGAAAAGATGTGTAATAAAATATTGTAATAAAGTCCAAATGACCATTCTACTCTTATTGACTTTTGAATTTTAACTTTTTGACTTTTAGATAGTTGAATTCAAAGAGTAAAATAATAATTTTGCCCTCTAAACTTTCCCCACAAACTTCTCAAAATAGTATGGACTTTTTGACCTTTTTAATAACATTTTACTTTTTAGCTTTTATTTATCATCCATCCCAAACCAAGCCTTTATCTCTTTCACCTACGACCTTTCAGACTTCAAGCACCTTAGAGCATTTCTAACCATACTTTCTAAAATGCCTCCTCAAAGTACACAGAAAACTACCTTCTTTATTTTGCCTAACTAGTTTAGCTAGTGTACACTCCAATCAAACTAACTTAACTAATTTTTAGCTAACCAATCAAACTAACTTAACTAATTTTTAAAAGAAAACTATTATAAAAATTAATAAATAAATAAATAAATAATCTTTTTATGACATGCTGCATATATTGACGTGGCATTTGGAAATATTTATTTGTTTAAAATATATAATTAAATTATTTATAAAAAAAATATTTTCAAACAATTATATTATCTCAACGGTCATATTTTCAAACGGTAATATTCTCTCAACGGTATTATTCTCTAACAGTAATATTCTCTAACGGACATATTTCTAACGGTCATATATTTTTGTTTATAAAAAGGATTTGCTCTTTCATGTTTACCAATTTGAACTATATTTCTCAACTTCATTCATTTTTTAATTACCATGGCTCGCAATACCATGAAAATGATTCTTAATGACTTTGACAGTGATGACAAATTGCAGCTAATAACGATAGCTGCAATGGAAGAAGAGCGACTCAATAAAGAAAGATGTTCGAGAAGACGTAGTGGTTCCATTGAAGGCCATGCAGTGCACTTATTTATCGCGATCGAGTTCAAGGCCATGAGAGACTTTATTGAGACTACTTTTTTGAAACAGCTATACATCTTGCCCATTTATTCAGGAGGAGATTAAGGATGAATCGATGTCTCTTTCTTCATATTCTATCTACGGTGGAAGCATACGATCCATATTTTTTTCAAAAAACAGATGCTGTTGGAATCATTGGTTTGTCTTCCTTTCAAAAAATGACAGCTACTATGAGGATGCTCACTTATGGAGTAGCAGCAGATTCGGTGGATGATTATGTGAGAATTGGTGAAAGTACCACCATAGAGAGTCTAAAATACTTTGTTAAGGCGGTGGTTGCAATGTTTTCTGAGAGGTACTTGAGGAGCCCTAACAACGATGATATTTCAAGATTATTAGCGATGGGAAGCAATCACGGGTTTCCTGGTATGTTAGGGAGCATTGATTGCGTGCATTGGAACACGGAAAGGTATGTATTCTGGTCACATCCATGAATGTGGCTTCTCAAGATTTATGGATATGGCATGCCTTTTTTGGCATGCCCAGATCTCATAACGACATCAATGTATTAGATCGTTCTTCTGTATTTTCACTCCTTACTCAAGGTCGTGCTTCTCCAGTCAGTTACTCAATCAATAGAAATGATTATACAATGGGATACTATCTTGCCGATGGTATATATCCACAATGGGCAACATTTGTCAAAACAATCTCATCTCCACAAGGGAATAAGCAAATATATTTTGCAAAAAGCTCAAGAATTGGCAATGAAGGATGTTGAGCGAGCATTTGGTGTGCTCCAAGCACGTTTCGTGATTGTGCAAGGACTTGCACGTTTTTGGAAAACGGAAATAATGGAAGATATGATGATGACATGTATAATAATGCATAATATGATTGTTGAAGATGAGAGGGATGCCAATGGAATAGACTTTAATTATGATACAATTAGTGAAAGTCTTCCACTAGTGTCTCATGAGCGTACACCAAAACTTTTTGAATTCATTCAAAATCATCGTCGTATCAGAGATAGAGGAACTCACTCCAAACTCAAACAGGACTTGGTCGAACACTTGTGGACACTACATGGAGACTCCTTGTGAGAAGTACTTGTTGGTTTTTATTGATTTCTGTACTAGTTTATATGCTTTAGTGAGTGTGTTTTCAAAAATATTTGTGCTACTTTATGTGCTTTCAATAATATATCACTAGTGATTTGTTTTTAATCTATGATCTTTAATGATACTTAGAATAAATTTTTTATGTCCATAAAACAATAAAACAATATATCATTGCAGCTGGTTTCATATTTACTCTAAATAAAACAATACAAAATATGCTAACAACAAGCCATATAAAAGTGATGTAATGAATTTAGCTGTTTGACAAACCGTCAGCAACAAGAAGCAGCAACCCCAACTGAAACTATCCCAAAACGTCACAAAATATCTCTATTTTCAGCAGCATGACAACTCAATAAAGCAACCCCAACTGATACAAGATGTGCCAGCAAACCCAGAAATAAAATACAGTCAAACTTAAATTAAATAAAAACATAATTTCAAAGCTAAATAAAAACAATTAATTCCTTTTTTCAAGGATTTGCATCTGACGTTGGCGAATATATTGTTCTTGCATTGGAGGCATCATACTTGTATCCATTGACATGATTCTCTCTTCCTCTCTCCCTTCCTCCAATGTAGGCCTTCGTTCCTCTCTCCTTTCCTCATTTTCAATCCTCCGTTCCTCTTGAAGATAAGATTTCTCAAATATCTCTATTTTCTTTTCATTTGTTATGTCGTTCTTTACCTTTATCTCTTCTAAGAGTTTCACGAAAGATGGCTCTGTAACATTATTTCCAAGATATTTGGCTTTGTTTTTCTTTGCGGCCTTCCTTCCTACTGGTCTTTCCACAACATCATAGTTATCATTGTCCCCTAAATTTACTGAATTTGGTGTACAAGGGGTAGATGTTGCCGGAGATGCATTTTTTGTGTTTTTTTTCTTTTTCGTTGTTGTATCTTTCATCCATTTTGGTTGGGATCTCAATTCATTCCAACAATGCTCAAAGGGAAAGTTCGATTGATACAAGTCTTTGTACAATTTTTTTGTATCTCGAATCTGAAAAATAATTTGGTGTACAAGGGGTAGATGTTGCCGGAGATGCATTTTTTGTGTTTTTTTTCTTTTTCGTTGTTGTATCTTTCATCCATTTTGGTTGGGATCTCAATTCATTCCAACAATGCTCAAAGGGAAAGTTCGATTGATACAAGTCTTTGTACAATTTTTTTGCATCCCGAATCTGAAAAATAGATTAAAGAATAGTCACTATCACATAATGAATAATATATATTCATTATAGGTACAAAATTAAATTCTAGTAATACCTTGCCTTTTTCAGTCGAACCACTTCGATTCAACGGTTCAACTTGAGCAAAACATCCACAAAATTTATTTGTGGCAAGTTGAATCATCGACCACCAATTCATTAGAGAAGTTTGAGTTCTTTCAGAATCGAAGGTTTTGTACTTGTTGAAGTTCTCCCACACTTTTAACCAACATGCCTTTGACTTTTGCTCATTTCCTCTAATTGGATCTAAGCTAATATTAAGCCATGAAGATATGAGCATTATGTCTTCCTCTACGGTGAAGTTCCCTTTGTGTTGTGATATCTTTGTGGTTTGAGTAATAATTTCAGGAGAGAATGATAAAGATTGACTCTCTTGTTGAGGAGATTCAGTGGTAAAATCATGGTGAAGGTCAAACTCGTCATTCATTAGGTTGCTAAAATATGCATTTCCTTGATATTCCATCTAAAGCACAATTATTCATACCACACAAAAAGAAAAAAAAAAGAATTGAGAACAATAATTCATTCAAAGGAACTGCAAAAAAAAAAAGTATCGAGAACAAAAAAGTATTGAGAACAAAAAAGTATTGATACAAGCAACTGCAAAGTAAAGCAATAATTCAGCTTATTAGAATTTTTGCAAAGCAGCGGACTTTACCACTAAGCTTGGGTATCCAACCAACCATGCTAAATACCCCCACTGGGGGTCGACCCCCAGTGAGGTGGCGGGCCATGATTCGCTGAAAATCAAAAAAAAAAAAAAAACAATTTTTTTTTTTTTGGCCAATGGGAGGGCAACACACACGACCCCCAGTAACCCCCACTGGGGGTCTGAGGCATTTTTGGGTATCCAACAGTTCCAAATGATTACTAGGCAACTCAACTCCACTTATGTCCTCTCTTATCTGTGGTTTATTGAGAACACATGTACGCAGGACAATGACATTCAAAGGATTTTGTGTTTACTAAACTTTAAAAGCACATGACTTTCTTCTATTTATAGATGAGTACAAAGATAGAAATTCATTCATGCTTAATCACTAACTCGATTTTGCCTCACTTTTTTGGGAATACAACCTGAGCACCAAGTTTGATTTAAAGAGCTGCATATATTTCATGTCAGTGCCTATGAAACTTGTATTAAAAGAGGTTGTGGATGCCAACAAGAAGAAAAGGGATTCAAGTTCCACAGACCAACAAAAATGACTCTGGCCTCTTTTACACAATATATATTTTACAATACCATAACTTCTTCAAGTATTATACTATAAGTAATGAAATCTTCTAAATATCCCTACTACCCCTTGGTTATTAATGCATATTAAAGACCAAAATGATAAAATAAGATTTAGGTATTAGAAAGTGCACATATTGATTAGGTGTACCTTCTTGTGTGCTATTTGTTTAAGAATGGAGCTTATTAAGGCCAAGTTTGGCATGATTGAAAAAAGATAAAAAGTCAAAAAGTCACTATCCTATTTAAGTCACATCATCTTATTTAAGTCACAGGATTACAAAAAAAACTGATAATTTAACTGTGCAGAAATTAGGTGGAGGAATCTAAAATCAAAAAATATTGGACATATGTCTATATTCTACAACTTATACCTTTTTTTTTTTTTTTCATAAGTTCTATAATTTGCACTAATTTTACATTATCACCTATAAGACCTGTGAAAAAATAAAATGCCTATCAGAGATATCATGCCACTTGCATAAATGAGATGCTTCAAACAGGTCCATCATTCTAAAATATGAAATTTGAGGTCACAAAAGTGTGCTGAATTTAACCAATCTGCTGATTCTAGATGCATGTAAGTGCATTATCCACATCAGAATAACTTAATAAGAATAATGCAAAACAAGCTTCACATGACTAGAGACATTCCCAAACAATAAAAGTAGGAGTTCACTCATCAAGATTCCTAATCAAATAAACAAGTTCCATCATGCAGTGATTTCTTTATCTTATATTTTTCTATAAAAAAAAAAAAAAAAAAAAATCCATAAAGGAGTATGACATAGAAAAAGCATTAAAAGTAAATCAACTAATAAAGTTTTAAATTGGGAATTGTGGGAGATACATATATTTTTCTCCCAAGAATCTATCGGTTTTTCCTTTGATTCAAATTGCTTAAATATCATAGACCACATTCTGTTTCTTTCACTATTCCCACCAAGGTTTAATTTCCTCTTTTAGTTTTACTTTACTTACACTTAAAGAACACATGATAGGCCACAAAAAGATCCCACCACAGCAAATAGAAAGAGCATTAAAGCCTAATAAAGCTTAAAGCTGTTAAAAAACAACTTTTAATTCTATTTCTGCATAATTAGATTCATCAAGCATGCTTGTTCAATAAACTTCAAACATTCTATACATTAAGAGCACACCCTCACCAATGTTCATTGGATGCAGAATTAAACAAGCTTCACTAATACTGATCTGTCTGAATAGTTTCAATTCAACATCTTTCCATACAAAAAATTTCCAAACAACTAGAAACAACATACCCACTTGTTAATTTCACATTAGCCTCTAAATTATCATTGAAAATGATTCCAAAAAAGAAAAAAGAAAAAAGAGAAAAAAAAAAAAAAAAAAAAACTTGAATATCATATTGATTGTGTGCTTGTACTGCTGTTCTCCCAAAACCATAAACTTCTAGTTATATGATATGACCTATGTTAGTCTGAACTTACCTCTGTTTGACTCTAGGAAAAAGAACATAAAGAAATGCAAGAAAATACCATCTTGAACAATGTTTATCCTTTTCTCTTGTTCTTTGAAAAATTACCGTTTGGTTGAATTTTCAAAACCTATTTTCGGAAAAAATAGAACCTAGTTTGACAAAATCTGAAAATTCAACCAAACAGAGAGAAACAAACAACAGTATTAACAACAGTCTTGAAACTCTCAAAGCATGGACTAAACAGCTTGCAATGTATCAAAACAGTCATCAATCAGAATAATAAAAAATAAAAATAAAAAACCATAAACAGATAGATCCTAGTAAACATATATTCATTTCATGAAAGAAGGTATATGACTATGTAGACATATATATATATATATATATATATATGGGCTGGAACAAAGATGGAGCAGGGATGTGGAGAAAGAGAAAAAGAAAGAGAGCCATACCTGTGATCAATGGGCTGGAACAGAGATGGAACAAGCAACGATGGAGACCAACATAATGGCGGGAAGAGTGCTTTGCCTAGCAATGGACGCTGGCTACCTGTGGAGCATAGTTCTAAATCGCGGTATCGGGTAACGTAACGGTATCGATCGCGGAGTATCGGTATCGGGAGTATCAACCGGTACGTATCGGGTATCGGGCATTGCGGCTGTGAAATTTCAAAAATCATTAGCAATCCCTCTAAAACTCAATTTTATGTATTTTTTTGACTCTTTTAGCCTTAATTTATCACATTTTAATCAAAATTTTGATATGTAGAGGCACTTTTGACTCATTTTCAACTAAATGATATGTATTTATTTTAGTCTCAAGCTTTTATTTGGCATATATGTTAAACTTTAATATAAAATTGATGTGGAAATTAATATAAACTTTAATATAGATTTGACAGATTCAAAAATTTGACAGATTCAAACAAACACACTATAAGGAAATAATTATCCTAATCAACTCATTGTCATGGCTTCTAAGTTTTTCATGGATCACTAATTCTTTATGACTCAAATGAAGCACGAGAGACTGAAATGATATCAAATTGGGTTTGGGATCTTCTATATTAATTAATTAATTTATTTATTTTATTTATTTATTTTTATCTATTTTAATGCACTTTCAATCAATAATCAGGGTGACTCTAGTCTCATCCCCCATCAAGCAAACAAAAGCTGTTAATTTTTTTTTTATTTGTATTATTAATATTTTATTATATATAGTTTGGTTATTTAAAAAAATCAAGAAAAAAACTATCCCATACCATAATATAAATAAAAAAATAACCAAACACAACTTACCAAGCAAACAAATTATAAACCATTATAAACAACTTACCAGAAAAAAAAAAAAAAAAAATTATAAACAAACCAAAAACACTTTACCAAGCAAAACCATCCCATACCATAATATAAATAAAAAAATAACCATAGAAAAAAGAAAAAAGAAGATAGAAGAAAAAAATAATAATTATAAACAAACCGAGCACCAAGCAAAACCATTTGAAGAAGTCTTCAGCCAAAACAAAAAACAGAGCATGAAACAAATGCAAACAGAGCATGAGAGAAAAACCTTCAACGAAGAAGCTTGAAATCGGTGATGGTTTGGGTTCGATTCGATGCTTCTCCTTGCAACACTTTACAAGATCGATACCCTTGGGAGATGGATTTGGGTTTGATTGGGGAGTTGAGTTTGGTCCGATTGAGGGAAAATTTTAAAGGTTTTTACACATTTATGGTCTCCTGCTGTCCGTAAGTCTGTGTGTATGTATTACTGCTTGAAGAAGACAAATTTGCTATCCAGGTGATTTGTTTTTCCAGGTGACTTTTTTTCCTCAATTATTTTTCCATATGGTTTGCTCGTTTTTCAGCCGAATCGGACTATATTGGAACTAGAGCGCTCACAAATCAGATACACGCCGATACATGTCGGGAATCGGCCACTACGGACGTGAAATTCATTCTCACCGGTATACCGGTGAGTATCTGACTCGGCACTCCCATTTTCCGTTACGAACCGGCCGATACGACATGTACCGGCCGATATTTAGAACCTTGTTGTGGAGAGCCAAAACGAGAATTGGCAAAATGCCTCCTCAGTTGTAATGCGCGTTAGAGCTTCGAAATCCAGCTTCAATAGGCAAAATGCCTAATTCTCCCCTTTTGGCTCATGCGTTGGAGATGCTCTTACGTCTTTCTTTCATCTTCCTCTAATGTCTCTCTTTCTTAAGCCCAAAGACTCAGTGTCTTTGTTTCTCAAGTCCCAAGACTCAACCTTTCATCTTTTTCTCATAGATTCTCTCATGGTCACTCTCTTTCTTCTTTCGTCTCCCTTAGTTTGTATATCTCATGGTTTTAGAACCTCTCGTCTCCTTCTCTTTGACTGTCTCACCCTCTGGTCGCCCTTTTTCTCATGATCCATCACTCTCTTTGAAACACAAAAGACTAAACCTAAAGGGTGAACATGAAGACTTTCATACTGTGTTTGGTTGGGAGTATTTGGGGAGGGATTTGGAAAGGAAAAGGGAAAATGTGTGTGAAATTAGGTGAAATATAAATATATTTTATTCACATTTCACTTATCTTTTTCATTTTCCTTTCCAAATCCCTACTCAAATCCCCAACCAAACACAACATCAATCTTTTATCTTAAACGTTACAAAGATCCATTTGACTTGTTGTGATCCTTATTTGGCGATGGCCTCACCTAGTTCGCTGTTCAGTCAAACCCTAAGTAGAGATTTCTAATTTGTTGTAATTTGTTGTTACTAGTTCATTGTGGGTTTGCAATTTGTGAAGTTTTTTTTGTTTCTAGTTCATTTCATTATTTTCATAATAATTTCAATTTTGAAGTGGATTTTTAAATTTTGTGAATATTGTAAAGTGTTCATGCAAAATCTGTGCAATCCAAACCAAACCAGCCCGTGGAATCGAGAACCATTTATGGATGGTTTCGAGGTGTGAATTAGTTGAGAAAGGTTGGTGTTATTTTCCAACCCGAATGTTTTCAGTTCTACAATGGTGGTTTCAGGTCTCACCCGACCTGAACTGTCCAAACCCTAATCACCTAATATCGTTTTAACTCTTCAATTAAAAAAATGATACATTTGTCACTTTGAATTATAAATTTATATTAATGTAAATATTTTGTTAAGGATGTATCTCTTAAATAGATAAAAAAAAAAAAAAAATTTTGATATATGACTTACGGGTAATTCTATTTCCACACATTAATTTCACTCAGTTTACACATTTAATGAAAATTTATCCTAAAATAACAATATCATAATACCCTCATTTTCTTTTACTCAAACCCTATTTCTAAAATAACATAAAATTAGACTTTGTTTGGTATAATTTTAGAATATGTTTTAAAAAATAAATAAAAAAAACTTCTTATTTCAATATGGTTTCATTTTTTTAGGGGCAAAAAAAATTTAAAAATTAAAATATTTTTTTGGTATTTATTTTTGGCAAATTAATTTATATTTTTCTCATAAAAATTTCAAAGAATTGAATCAAAAATTAAAACCAAACATAGCCTTAGGGTTTTAAAATTGGAAATGACGGTAATATTGGAATATAGAGATGTGTACTGAGAATTTATAATTTTATTATATGCGTATTGAGAAAATGTTCATTAAGTGTGTATACTGAGAATAATTAGTGTGTGGAAATAGAATTACACATGACTTACACATAACATCTCGAATGGAATGCCTAAAATGACATTATCCATATGTTTTATTTAGTTTTTAGTTAAAAATATAAAAATATAATATTTTTGTATTTTTTATTTTTAAGGATTTTTTTTCAAATTTGGATGAATATAAGAAAAAAAGACTTACTAAAAACAAAAAAAAATATTATTTTTTTTAAAAAAAGCCTCAAAATTATATTTTAACTTAAAAATCAAATAATTTTTTTAGTTGGAGTGATAGTTAAACGGGATAAAATATAATTTATCCCAGTAGTTGAAAGGATACTGAGATCTTAATTGAAAAAATTAATAAAATTATAATTTATAATTAAAGAGATAAAGACAATACTGGAGGGGTGAAATGTAATTTGGCTTATATTTTTTAACTGCTTTTCCGCTATGGTTTTCGTTTTTTACTGCGTCACAAGAGACAGTAACAGCAGCAGTAAGGTTCCGTTTGGGAGGATTGTTTGGCTAAAATAGTTATATAGAATAAAATAAATTACTTTAGTTAAATAAGATAAAATGTCATATTTAATTTATAATTATTTTATTTTTTTTTTACAAAAGTTAAAAAATTAAAAAAATTTATTTTAAACGAAACTTTTTAATTCCAGACTAAGGGGTTATTTGGAATATTTTTGACATTTTATAAAAAGATATACAGAAAAATAAAGCGGTGATATAACCAAAATAAGTGCACTTATCTAAATAAGTACACTATGCCAAACCGAGATTGTTTGGGATGAACTATATAAGGGCACTTTTTGACTTTTTAGCTAAAAAATAGAGGAAAAAAGATTTATATTTGAGATAATTTTTTGACTCTTTACGAAAAAAATATGTATTAAAATATTATATCAACTAGCAAAATTACCTTCCTATCCTTCTGAGCACTGACATGCTTTCCGTGCATGTCAGTGACCATCCCGCATTGTGCTGCGCTTTTTTTTAAAAAAAAATTTATTTATAACCAAAAAGTGCATTGTTTGAAGGGGACAAAACCAAGGGCATTTTTGTTTTTTTTACCCTCTATCTATTCTGCCTTTTTTTCTCTGCCCAAACATGTGAATAGTATTAATTGTTTTTTTTCAGTAATTTTTTTACTTTTTATCTTTTTTAAGCGATATCAAACACCTATTTAAATAATTTAAAAATTTAAAAAAATTTAAAAATTATTTGAAAAGTGTTAGATTAATATATTTTTTAATTTTTTATAAAAAAAATAAAATATAAATTAAATTTAAAATGACGTGATAAAAAAATAATACGACTTCAATAAAATGATTCTGATGTAAATAAAATAATATGCTATTTTATCACATCAAACAACCACTATAAGAGCAAAAAAGTCAATAAACCAACCCTCAGCTGTGTGACCTTCTGAATTAGACCTTGCCACGTAACACAGGGAATTTTTTTGGTAATTCACTTAGATTTGTCTTTTCCAACTTTGGCCTTATCGTGGCGTTGCCAACGCTGATTGGTTTCCGTTTTTGTCGTTTCTCTCTGCTTTCACCTTCTCTCTCTCCTTTTCATCTCGTCTGACCCGCACGTAGCTGTCGCTATATGATCTTTTATTCCAATGCATCTCCACCGTCGATTCTCTTCTGGAAGTTTATAGTAATTAGCCCACTTGTATGTTTTTAATTGCTGAACTCACACACAATACGACACAACCATTCATATCTGCTCTTCCCTGCTTCTCTCTCTTCTATCATATCCTTCTCTCTCACTCACGATGTTGAGATTCGCGTAGATAAAAGATTCGATGCTCCTCCAATCTCCTATGACTGACTCGATCTAATCCTTTCTTGCAGCATACGATCCATTCAGTGTGTTTCGTCCCTCGCAGATCGCATCGGAATTACACTTTCCACTCTCTGATTCAGCTAAGCTTTCCATTTCTCCAAAATTCGTCTTCCGAAGGTTTAAAATTCGTCTAATTCGATTAGATTTTGATATCTGGATCGTTGTTGTTGTTATTATTATTATTATTATTTATTTATTTTTTTGTGATTGGTGTATGCAGTTTAGTTATTTTGGAGTTGAATTATTTGACTGTTATGGAGGATGCAAAAGCGATTAAGATCGATGATGGAATGCCAGAGACGGTGTTTGGATTGGTGATCAATCACATACACGACCAGCGTGACCGGGACGCGATCTCGCTGGTGTGCCGGCGGTGGTTTGAGATCGATGGGTTATCGCGGGAGCATGTGACAGTGGCGTTGAGTTACACGACGACGCCACAGATGCTACGGCGGAGGTTTCAGAATCTTATTTCGTTGAAATTGAAGGCGAAGCCACGGGCAGCGATGTTTAATCTGATACCGGAGGATTGGGGAGGGTATGTGACTCCTTGGGTGGAAGAGATTGCCAGGTCCTTCAGTTGCTTGAAGGAGCTTCATTTTCGGCGAATGATTGTCAGGGACTCGGATCTCGAGCTCCTAGCTCAATCGCGTGGTCCGCTGTTAGAATCACTTAAGCTTGATAAATGCTCTGGCTTTTCCACAGATGGACTCCTGCATATCACCCGCTCCTGCAAGTATGTTCTTTCTTACTTTTCACGCTGATTTTCCTTTCATATTCATATTCAAATTAGCTAGCAAAGTAGCTGTTGTTTTTTTTTTTTTTTTCCGAAAATACATAAAAAAAAAAAAAACAACAACAACAACAAACAAACAAACAAAAAAAGTATGCTCGTTATAGTTAAAGAGCATTGTTATTTAATACCAAAAATTAAATCCAATTTTCAAACCAATTGATTTGGCAATTAATTTAGATATTAAAAATCCCCCCCCCCCCCTCATATTTCTCTAATCATCCATCAATCCCTCATATTTCTCTAATCATTCATCAATCATATCAATTAAATATTATTGAATCTATTTTAGCTTGTATATCATTTTTCTATTTATTAATTTTTAAAATAAAATTGTTATATACATAAAAAATAAAAAATTTGACTTTTTTTTTGGGGGGTTTAAAAAATAAAAAATTTGACTTTTTTTTTTTTTTCGGGTTGCCATGTAGGCATATTTGCTGACGTGACATTTTTGTAATGGTAAATGGTGGAATTTATCTTGCTAGAAAAGATAAATGTAATTGCCTAGCCTATTTGGCTTTCCAATTGTAGCTAACCAATTGGAGATCAGTCCTAATGCCTAGCGTGTTTACTAACATGTCGGAGCATTGAATTTGTATTTTGGTCGGCTAAAATGCGTAACAAATACAATATGAAGAACCTGTTGGAGTTTCTCATGTTTTTTGTGAGAAAATGTTGATTCAAAATCTTGCATCTTTGAAATAGTCTTCCAAACTTGTAGGATACTCCTTTGTTCTGTTTCTTACGTGTTGTTCTCGTCTATTTTGGTACGCTTCTGTGCCATGAACTATTTATTTTGTGGGTTTGTTACTTCTAGAATTTTAGCTTTTATAGTAAACTTTAGCTGATCCACGTACACACTCCAGTGCTCCGTATACTACAGATCTTCTGCTATCCATTGCAGCAGAGTCGACACATACTTATGTGTTGACTATGTGGCCTTTATAAATCACTTGATATGAGGGTAAGGTTCTGAAAAATGATTGCGGTCGCCGTAACGGTGGTGGTGATGCGGTTGCAGTTGTGGGGTGTAAAGGCGGTAGTGTAACAGTTGCGGTAACCGGAACTGCGAATTTTTTTATTTTTCGCACAATTTAAAAAAAACTTACCGATACGCATATTTTTTTTCCATGATAATATTTATTGGGTTAAAAATAAATATTGATCAATTTTTGTAAATTTTTAAGTATGATCCAATATATTTCATATTTTTAAATCACTATAAACTGAGTTTTTTACATTTTATTTTAATAATTAATGACTTTATATTTTACAAAAAATCAATCACTAACTATTATATATAAGATAAATAATGACAAAAGTAAGAGAATAAACAAGAGCCTAAATATATATATATATATATATATATATATTTTAACTAAGCCAAATAGATAAGGACCACACTTATTATTATTATTATTTTTAAACAATATATAGATAGACACACACAAACAACAAATTAGTTTAGTGATAGCAGTTGAATAGAATAGTATAGGTCTTATAGTTTCAACAAATCAATAACATGTTTTTCATCTTCTCTCTTCTCTCTCACTGTATCTCTTGCTCCTCTATTTTCTCTCTTTATCTTCCCTCTTCTCTCTATCCCTCTTCCCCCATTTTTAACTTTTTTTTGTGTGTTTTTTCGAAAGAAACAGTTTAGAACCGTTATGTAACGGTGCATAACAGGCCGTTACGGCTGTTACGACACCGTTACGACCGCTATGGCAGCTGCTACGGCCGACACACTTGTGAATCTCAATCACACTGTAAAAGTAGCCGTAACGGGTGGCGGTAACCTCTGAAACCGTTACATAATGGCGTTACGTAACGGTTGCGGCCGCTTTTTAAAACCTTGTATGAGGGTAATGCCCTGTGAAGACCTAATTGGTCATTGAGGGTGAGAAATGAGAACATCCATTTTTGTATCACCAGAATCTGTGCACCCCAACGCGTGCGCGCACGCACGCGCACACACACACACACACACACACATATATATATATAGAGAGAGAGAGAGAGAGTTGTGGAGCTTGTGTACTGAATGTAGATCAAACAAAAGCTGGAGAAAAAGGGATTAGGGTGTTCTTTCACTTTTAGTGAGTAGGAAAATGCAACATGTGAATTTGTACTTAAAAGTAGACCTAGGAAAAATCTATTTTCTAATCTTGTCGGATTTAATCGAACAAGGCTCCAAATCATCCAACAAAACTGGTTCTGTGGTTTCCTAAACAACCACTAAAGCTTTGCATCATTTGCGCAAAGTGGCTGTTGAAACCAGAAGTCACATGCCTAGGCTTTTTCTCTTGAAAATTAGAAATTTTTGCTAATTGCAATGCACAGGTAATGTTTCTTCTCACAACATTTCAGAAGATAATGAATCTTGAGATCTTGCAGTATAAATTGAAACCATAGGATCTGTAATGAAATTATTTGCAGTATTCATTTTCGCCCTTAAGGTGTGGGATTTGATTTAAAATATTAGACATTTGTTTGTGTTCATGCCAGCATATGGGCAGGTTCAAAATTATCTGAATTCTTCATAAAGAAAGTTATACTGGCACAAATGCTTATGGTCAGCTTTATTCAATGTGATTAAGGCTCCATTTGGCAACTTGCCACCCCCCCAAAAAAAAAAGCGATCCAAAAAGTCAATAAAAAAATCTAAAAAGGCAGTAAAAAAAAGTCAAACATCTCAGTAATTCACGGTTTTCAAAACAACTCAAAAAGTTCATTCCCAAACACATTAACTTTACCTCATAAAAAAGCCAATTCGCCACAAAAAAAGCCAATTCCCAAACAAGACCTAATTTTCAGAATGAAATCAATCGCAGTTAACCTAACAGTCAGCAGGTATTGATTGAACTTCTCCAGTTAGTAAGGGATCAATACATGACATATTTATTAGGATTTAAATTAACCTATTAGCTAATTAGGTATATTATGCGAGATTGTTAAGCAGTATAAATGAAAGTTTAACTTAATTACTGTCACCTTCTTTTTAGGATCTGCAAAATTCGTCTTTTGTCAATTAATACAAAATAAAATCTTATCTCAAGGCTTTATCCAGATTAGGAGGCCAGTTTATACCAAATCATTTTTCAAGGTGATCAACATTCTATAACAATATTTGTTAGGATTTAAATGAGCCTATTAGCTAATTAGGTATATTATGTGAGATTGCTAAGCGGTATAAATGAAAGTTTAACTTAATTACTGTCGCCTTCTTTTTAGGATCTGCAAAATACTTCTTCTGTCAATTAATACGAAATAAAATTTTATCTCAAGGCTTTTTCCAGATTAGGAGGCTAGTTTATACCAAATCATTTTTCAAGGCGATCAACATTCTATAACAATATTTATTAGGATTTAAATGAACCTATTAGCTAATTAGGTATATTATGTGAGATTGTTAAGCGGTATAAATGAAAGTTTAACTTAATTACTGTCACCTTCTTTTTAGGATCTGCAAAATACTTCTTCTGTCAATTAATATGAAATAAAATCTTATTCAAGGCTTTTTCCAGATTAGGAGGCTAGTTTATACCAACTCATTTTTCAAGGCGATCAACATTCTATAACAATGTTTATTAGGATTTAAATGAACCTATTAGCTAATTAGGTATATTATGTGAGATTGTTAAGCAGTATAAATGAAAGTTTAACTTAATTACTATAACCTTCTTTTTAGGATCTACAAAATACTTCTTCTGTCAATTAATACAAAATAAAATCTTATCTCAAGGCTTTTTCAAGATTAGGAGGCTAGTTTATACCAAATCATTTTTCAAGGTGATCAACATCCTATAACAACTCTGTCCGTTGAAGGGCTCAAACCATTCACCTAGCAATGATATCAACAAATAAAATTGCATGTTGAAATTCCAAGAACAATAAGAAAATATTCTTAAGAAATAATGAGATTGAAAATCCTGTAACTTCAAAATTGAATGACATCTAAATTCTTACAAAAATATAATCTTGAAGACTTCGAAAATTTACCCTTTCACATCTCTCTAATCTCATTGCCCACTGAAACTATGTTTTCCTCACAAATAACATAATTTGTAAAATCAAAAACTCTAATGACAGTCCCCAAAGACAATATGTAGCAGAGAGAGGGTGGCAATGGAACACTGGAGCTGGAAAGCAAAGTTGGTGATGGTAATGGTGATGATAATGTCTTGCATGGAGCCCTCTGTTTATTTAGGGTGGCGAGCCAAGTGGAGCCATCTCAGCCAAGCACAAGTGTCATGACTCCCTTAGCTAGCAAAATGGAGTAAAATATAGTCAACTCTGCAACTTGTGATACATTGAGGGATGTATCATACATGGTCATAGGGTATGTCGATGCATCCCTTTTTGGGTGTGTCAGGGCAGTTCAGAGGTAGGTATGGGACAACCTTTTTTGAAAGCCCTCTATAAGGCTGGTCCGAGCCCATCTCTGTTAGACATAATCTCACATCACTAATCTAAGCCACTTAAGCTTAGTTAATGAAATGCAATGGTCTCTCCACTCATTGTCAATTGGTTTTGGGTTGGATGCTTTAACATGGTATCAGACCTGGGTTTTGGGTGGCCTCTCACGCCTTGTAGTAGTCTCCTCTCAAGTATTTCTCTCATCTGGTCCATCTTTCAATTGGACCTGTCAATCTCCTCCATGTGCTACTGGGCTGCACGTGAGGAAGAGTGTTAGACATAATCCCACATTACCAATGTAAGCCACCCAAACTTGGTTAATATAATGTAACGGCTTCTCCACTCATTACCAATTGGTTTTGAGTTGGTTGCTTTAACAACCTCATCCCCAAGGGAAAGCTCAGCAACCATCTGGACGAACCTTGAGATTTAGTGTTCAATCTACTACCACGAGTCCTTTGATGGTCGCAAGTGGGTACCAAGGCCTTACTTCCAACCCCACAAAGTTGTCCCAACTTCAATATGGAGATCTGGCTTGGTGGGGCTGTTGGCAAGCCAGGTGACCAAGTAGATAAACGACAAGTTCTAGCACAATAGGGTCTGGACTTCTCAGTGGGGTTGTCAATGAACCGAGCTAGCCTAACCCATGTCAACATGACGAGGCTGTAAATGGTTTTGAGGTGCTCGTCCTAGTGATTGGTTCACATGTCCATTAGTGGGGGTAACACGTGGCATATGAGGCTTGTTGAGCAAGTCATATCATTGATGATGTGGCATGGCTAGGAGGTGGCATGTATCATGGTTGAGCCCATATACCTACACTAAACTGAAGAAAAGTGACCTAATCGCATGAGCATGCCCCCTTTGAAATTTAAATTGCAAGAGACTCAGGTGCACCATTCTCTGTCTGATGCAGACTATAAATATGAATCGTGCCCTCCTTAGTCTAGTCCAAATATGCAATAGAGGCCAAGCAATGATAAAATTACCAGTGATGTGATGCTTCAGGACCCTTCAATATCATCATTTAAGGCTTGTGCACCTCAAAAATGCTTCCATCATTACTATTCATGACTGTTTTTGTTTCGTTTAGTGTTTGCACTCGCATGAAACTGAAAACTGAAGTTGCATTGGAGCAAAGTATTCTTTTGTCTTTTTTCAGAAAGAATATTAAAGTGGCAGTTAGAGCTGGTGCCGGTTATGAAAAATTCATTTCTTGATTAAGATCGTCAAACATGAGAAACACCCTAATTAGATACTCTCGTAAAAAAAATTGAATAGTTGAATATGTTTTGTTCATTTACCTTCTCTTCTGTTTTCTTTTCATGGCATGGTTGTCTCAATATATTTGCGCTGTTTGTTTGAGCTGTTATTTAACCGAAAATATAGCCCCGGCTTGAGTGAGTTGTTGGTAAGGGCACCACATCAATTGAGATAGCATTTTGTTGAGTTGAGTTGTGTTAGTGATTTGGATTGATTCTGGTTTCTGCCACACCAATTGTGTGTATGTGTATGTCTACTTTTGGCATAACGTTCTACCGGAATGATGTATATGTTTGCTACTTAAAACATGTATAGTTTTAACATGTTTCTTTATTTTTTGAGCAGCAACAAAAAGAGATTTTATTGAATTAATAGAAAGTGATAAACAAAGAGACGACAAGATTTCCTCATACAGTGAAAAGCATACAAAACAAAACAGAAACCTAAAAAAGTGAACAAGTAAACATTCCAAAACTAAGATTGGCAAACAGCTGCCCAATCCCTGGAAATCGAAAAAAGTGGAATTCCTTTAAATGAGGGAGACACATAAGCCAAAACAGAAGTGACCCACCTTTTCCCACAATGAATCCACATCTGTCTCCTTATCATAAATTTTTTTTGCATTTCTCTCCAACCAAATGGTCCAAAAGTTGGCATAGACAATGCAAGACCACAATGATTTGGCCTTCCTATTGCCACCAAAATCGCCAACGTTAATTAAAAGCATGTGGATGAATAACATGTTTAGTTAATCATGCTTTTCGTTTTGCATTTATGCATTGTAGGTAGAAGGAAGGTTAAAGTACTCTGCTGGATGAACAATTTTTCATGCGTATTTTAAAATGAAACATGCTGTTTTTGCTTCTTTTTTTTTTTTCATTTAAATTTTTGTATGCTTTAATATATGTTCAAAAAGAAAGAGAGTGGGCCAAAAAAAGAAAAAGAAAAAGAAAGATATGGTTGATGCATTTTGCAGTTATGTGATATAATTGATGTTTTCGACTACTTAATTTTAATTATTGATTTATGTTTACTTACTTCATTTTATATAACCCTGTTCATCTTTTCGCAGGAAATTAAAAACTTTGTTTCTGGAAGAGAGTAGTATCATTGAGAGAGATGGTGAATGGCTACATGAGCTTGCTTTAAACAACACTGTTCTTGAAACTTTGAATTTTTACATGACATATCTTGTCAATGTAAGATTTGAAGACCTTGAACGCATAGCCAGAAATTGTCGGGGTTTAGTCTCGGTGAAAATTAGTGAGTGTGAATTACTGGATCTTGTTGGTTTCTTTCGTGCTGCAGCTGCATTAGAAGAGTTTGGTGGGGGTTCTTTCAGTGAGCAACCAGAAAGATACTCTTCTGTATCATTTCCCCCAAAATTATGCCGCTTGGGTCTGACATACATGGGGCAGAATGAAATGCCCATAATATTTCCTTTTGCATCTCTACTAAGAAGATTGGATCTCCTCTACGCGCTTCTGGATACAGAGGACCATTGTCTTTTGATTCAAAAGTGCCCTAATTTGGAAGTTATTGAGGTAGATTCTCTAAACCATTTCTCTTGTTACATATTTATTGTTAATTCACGTAAATAAGTTGCCAAACATTTTTTGAATGTGGTTATTTGAATTGCTTTATGCTGTGTTTGGATTGTGGATTTGTATAAAGATTTGGAAAGAGAAAGGGAAAGGAAAATAGAGAAAAAATTTAGCTTATTTTTTATTCACCATGTTTCGAATCTTCTTCACATTGTCTCTTTTCTTTCCAAATCCCTACCCAAATCCATGATCCTAGCATAGCCATAATGATTTGTAATGCTCTCCAAGATTTAGTTTTGAAGGGATCAATGCCAAGCATTTCAAATTGACTACATCTGAAATTCGTAACATGGTGAAAGTAATTTAGTGCCGAAATTATGTAGGATGCCAACATGGAGAGAATTATGTAGATACAATGGAAACTCAGTGGGAGTGATGTATAAAGTTGATTGACTTGACTGACCCTTTATTTTTCTTCTTTTTCTTATGAACAGACAAGGAATGTTATTGGAGACAGAGGATTGGAAGTTCTTGCTCGGTCTTGCAAAAGATTAAAGAGGCTTCGGATTGAGCGAGGTGCTGATGAACAGGGGATGGAGGATGAAGGAGGAGTAGTTTCACACAGAGGATTAATTGCTTTGGCACAGGGTTGCCTGGAACTGGAATACATGGCTGTATATGTGTCTGATATTACAAATGCATCTCTGGAATGCATTGGCACAAACTTGAAAAACCTCTGTGATTTTCGCCTGGTCTTACTTGATCGTGAAGATAGGGTTTCAGAGTTACCACTTGACAATGGAGTTCGAGCTCTATTACAGGGTTGCTGTAAGCTTCGAAGGTTTGCCCTGTATCTTCGGCCAGGGGGTCTGAGTGATGTGGGACTGGGTTATATTGGGCGGTATAGTCCAAATGTGAGATGGATGCTTCTGGGGTCAGTTGGGGAAACTGATGCAGGGCTTCTGGAGTTCTCGAGGGGGTGTCCTAGCCTACAAAAGCTGGAAATGAGGTGTTGTTGCTTCAGTGAATATGCTTTGGCTATTGCTGCATTGCAGCTAACTTCTCTTAGGTACTTGTGGGTGCAGGGGTACCGGGCATCTGAAACTGGTCATGATCTGTTAGCCATGGTTCATCCCTTCTGGAATATTGAGTTAATCCCATCAAGACAAGTTGTTGTTAATGGTCAGCTTGGGGAACAAGTTGTTGTTGAGCATCCTGCCCATATACTTGCATATTACTCCCTTGCTGGGCAAAGAACAGATTTTCCTGATACCGTGGTGCCTTTTGGAAGCAGCAGCCTTGCTTAATGCATAGATTAGATCCGGTCTGTATATACTATGTTATTTATCTTTTCTCTAAGAGTGCCAACTCTTTTGTTGCATTCTCTCTTTTAGATGTCCTGTTTATAGGTGTTTCCCGTGTCGTTTCTTCTTGGTAATAAGGTTTGCCTTTCCACGTCGTTTTGAATTTAGTTTTGATCCCAAGTCTAAACTTTGTTGTTATATAAGTGTGCTTTGTTCTGTAATTTTAAAGTACTCTAATGTTTGGTTGCGTGCCTTCTCAATCCCCACCAGCACAGACACGGCAATTTCTTCTGAGTTTGAATTTGCTGGTAACCTGTATTAGTTTTTCTGGAGGTTTGTTAACTTGTATTGAGGATGTGTATTTCAGGATGTGCAAAATTGTAAATATGAATCAAGGAATAATTACATAATTTCCCTGCTATGATTGTTATAGATGAATGGATTTGCCTAAACTCTAGAGCCTCTCTCATATGTGACTGCCATTTTTTTTTGTGCTTCAATACTACTAGACTGTGTTTAGATTATGAATTTGGGTAGAAATTTAAAATGTAATATTGAACTGTTTGGAGGCAACCTTGGTGTGCTCATGATTATTCACCTAATAACATGAAGCAAATTATATGTAAGTGTGTGACTTTGTCCTAAATGACGATGGTGCCCTAGTTGGCAGTGGGTTAGCTTAGCTCCATACATTCTCAACTTTGGTTCGACTCTTGTCGGTCCTTCCCGTTTCCTAGGACCATTGGAATATGAGATCTTTCTTGATTCTCAAGTTTGTGTTCCTAAGGTGGATCTCAAGGACTTTACCTAGAACACCATTTCCCCGTATTTAAAAAAAAAAAAAAAAGGTTAGTAAGGGCATTGTCAGGTGAGAAGTGCCCTAAAGAATCCCCAAGGTGCCAAAGCTAAGGCATAATCGTTGAACAAAATCTGACATCTATTTTGTTTAGGAAAAATAATTGAGAACTCTAATAAAGGAGTTTTAATGAGCTCTAAAGAGGTGGATTTAACTGTGATGTGATGTTTTAATCTTGGTTTTATTTTTTTTATTCTCTGTTATATCATTAGTATTCAATTAGAGTTTCAAAATTAGATGAATACATCATTACTCACCAGTGGAGAAAGCACATGGTGTCTCTCCAGTGGTTGATAGAAAAAGAAAACAAAGGAAAGTACATGCAGAATTTTCTCAAGTAATTAAGTAAACCTTTGGGATGCTACAAAAACTGATGAGAAACAGTAGAAGTCTTGAAAAACAATAGATAAAAGTAAGGGAAAGCTTGTTAATTCTGATTTTAATTGCCAATAGTTTAACGTCATTCACACTTTGATTCTTTCATATGAAACATGAAGGAAGCAATAGCTCTGTTTGGGGAAGATCATATTCTTGGATCTCCCCAAAGCAATGAAGAAGGGGGCCCTAAAAGTTAGAAAATACATGAAGATTTCTCGATGAAAAATGGTTTTTTGTTTTTGTTTTTTTTTTTCTTTTTTCTAAGTTCGAAGAGGAACCAAACCTTATGTTTTGAAGCTTGAGATCCATGTTTGTGGTCTTAATCCACTCAAAGGCCTCGTTTGAAAATAAATTATTTTAGTAATTTTTTATTTTTTTTTGACTAAAATATGAGATAAAAAAAATTAATATATTTGAAATGACTTTTTAATTTTTTATAAAAAGATGTACAAAAAGTAGAGATAAATGAAATTTTTGACTTTTGGTATAGGTTATAGACTTTTTAATTTTTTTTTAGTCACTTTTAAGCTTTTAAAATATGTGTATCGGAAACAAGGCCTAATTTTGATAAAATTTAGGTCTCGTTTGAGAACAAACTATTTTAATAATTTTTTGACTAAAATATGAAATAAAAAAAATTAATATGTTTGAGATGATTTTTAAATTTTTTACAAAAAATATATAAAAAATAGAATATTTAATTTTTTAATATAAATTATAAATTTTTTAATAATTTTTTAACTTTCTAACTAAAATATTAACTTACCAAACGAGACCTTAAAATAAAGTGGCCAAAGTGCTTTCTTATGCAACTTGCAGAAAGGCTGCTTCTTCTATAAAAAGAATGATATAAAGTGGGTAGGTTTGTCATTTACCACAAAGTGTAAATAAGAGGTAATCATACTGGTCATGTTGCTTTGGGACTTTTTTAGTGGTCAGTATAAAATATGATGGTACATGCAATGTGACGTGGCGTGGGCACTAACCAGGCGGCGAAATTACAATACAGTTGTAACTTTCATCAAAAGGTCCGTGACAATAATAATTAAAATCAATAAAATTTAACATTAATTTAAAATTATTTTTTTAAATAACACACTCATATGTTATTTTCCCTAATTTTAACATAGTTGTAGCAGCATAAATGGTGATGCTACCGACTGTGATAGCAACTAAAAGAGAACAGACATAGTAAAAGCATATTTGGAGGAGTAATCATTCACTTCCACTCCATCTCACACTATACATTTATGTAGGTGTCACGTTTGACGTATCTGAGAAATAATTGCGACTTTATCTTACGCGACATTGAATAATTTTTTTATATCGAGATATAATTTATTTAGCTTATTTGTCATTTTTGAATATGGAAGCTATGATTTTAAATAGCATATCCATTGACATATTAGGAGTATCGTGCCAAACATATCAGGAATTAGGAATTAGGTGTTGCAGTCATGAATTTTTTAAACCATTAACTACAAATAGAGCTTTATAGTAATTGAACCAATCACATCAATTGTAAATTTAGCATAAATTAATATGTATTAAGAATCGACTAATATAGATGTGATTTTAATCTAATTCATATACGAGACTGTATCAATCAATACATAAATATTGGTTAATATTTAAAACCATTATGTTAAACCCTTTAAATAGTGAGCTACCTACTCCCACAAACCATGGTAAACCAGATGAAAAAGAATATAGTTAGCAGGTTGGTGATCCAATCAACATGGTATTTTCATATTTTTTAAATAAATTGACATATTTTGTGTTAATGTTTTTTCTTTGGATAAACTGCACTTTGACCCCTTTTATGTTTAGTCATTTTTTTACTTTGATCCTTAAAACTTGTTTTTTGTCATTTTGGCCTTTTATGTTTTAATTTTTTTTCAATTTACTCTAAAAGTTAATTTATGTTAAAAATTAGACAGAAAATGACACATTAACAACTATGTGGCATAAAAATATTTTGTTATATATAACTTACATCTCTAATATAAAATTGTATATAATGATATGTTTTTATATTATGTGACAATTATTATGATATTTTTTGTCTAATTGTGAACATAAATTAGCTTTAGAAGTAAACTGAGAAAAATTTAAAATATAAAGAATAAGTAAAAAAATAAATTTTAAAAACCAAAATAAAAAAGTAATCAAACATAAAAAGAAGTAAAGTATAATTTAGGGGTTGTTTGAAATGTTCTAAATAAGTACATTTTTTGACTTTTTGTGAAATATAGATTGGATTTGAAATGATAGGATAGAGATGTGATGTAACTTAAATAAAATGATATGACTTAAATAGGATAGTGACTTTTTAACTTTTATTAAAGATGCTAAACTTGGCCTTACTCTTTTTTCCTTTCCCAACCTATTTCTCTTTTCTTCATTTTTGTATTTTTTTAGCACTGTGATGAACATGTGTTTTTTTTGTACATAATTAGCAGTAAAAACACAGTTGTAGGATATCAAGAAAGGCTATTATTTTCCCATCAAAAAAAGAAATGAAAAGAAAGGCTATTATTTAAGAAAAATGTTTTGTACTATTAATTTAACACTACTAATGTATCATTAATGATGTGGCATCATATGAATTCCACCATTTATATGATAATTTGGCCTTTGTTTTATTTATTTATTTTTTTTATATTACCACTTCATTAATGATGTTTTTAGAATTTCAAATTTAGTACACTAAATTACCACTCATTATTTGAACTTTGTGCCGACAACTAACTGCATCATAACAATGGGGTTTTAAATTTTAACAAAAATGCTAAAGGTCCCAAATGTTTTACCAAATGTCTCACATGGGTGTGAGACCCACATGAGAACTCACATTATATGAATCTCACACCCACATGAGACATTTAGTAAAACTTTTAATAAAATATTTGAAACATCTAGTACTACTCAAATTTTAAAGTGAAATTTCATCTCCTTTGAACTTTGTGCCGACAACTAACTGCATCATAACAATGGGGTTTTAAATTTTAAAGTGAAATTTCATCTTCTTTGTGCTTTGTTTTTGATTTATGAATTTAAAAATAAATGTGAAATATAATTATATTTTATCTATATTTTATCTATCTTTTTTGTTTTTGTTTTTTTCTTTTTTAAATTTCTATTTAAATTTATGAATCAAACAAAATGTAAGTGACGTAGTATCAAACATCAATAAACAATTTAAAAGTATTTCTTTTTTGAGAATTTAGTAATTAATAATTTATAGAATAATGTTTTAGACCATTAAAATAGCAATTCTAAAACTGCACTAAAGAGATGACAATACTTTCGGTCTCATCTTGATGTGATAGTTTGACTTAATTTTTTTTTATTTTTGTAATAATACGAGCTCAGTAAAACTCTTTTAAAACTCTACTTTTAGAACTCCGGTAATTTATAACACAAAGGCCCTGTTTGGTACAGCTTAATTTCAGCTTATTTCAGCTTTCAGCTTAATTTAAGCTATTTTGATGTGTTTGGTTTAGCTTATAGCTTATAGCTTATAGCTTTGTGGAAGTCAGAAAACAGCTTATTCTTTAAGTGGGACAGAAGATGCTTTAAGAATAAGCTGGAAATCAGCTTAAGTTAAAAGTTACAAGCTATAAGCTGTTTAGGCATAAGCTATAAGCACTTTCCCACAGCTTTATCAAACAGGGCAAAAAACAATCATCATCACACAAATCAAGCATTGGTACGGCGCACCACAAAGAAAAGTATCTTACTCTGGAAAAAGACAAATGCCAAGATTTCTATCTTTCTTTTCTTTTCCTAAATCTTCTCATCAGCCAATTGCAGCATAGTGATAGAATTAATTCCTGTTTAGGTTGTGTTTTCATTTATTTTGTTTCTGTTTTTTTGTGTTTTTGTAAGTAAAATAATGTAAAGTTTAAAAACATCTATTGTTTTAATATCATATTCCTTTTTGTGTGAATTAACTTTTTCAAAATTTCAAAAATAACTTTTATTGTTTTTTTAAAAATGAATTATTTCCATAAGATTTTCCTGCAAATAATTTTCTTAAACAATTCGTCAAACAAATTTCTTTTATTTAAATGAAAATAGAAAGCGAAAACACAATCATACAGACAAATCTTCCCCACGACTATAGAAAAGTCAAGATTTCATTCTGACTGTGTAAAAAAGAATAATATTACAAATTTAGGCTTAATTATTAAAAAATTATCTAGAATCATCATCTTATTGTTCAAATTCATTTTATATATAAATCCCACATTACACAAATTTAGGGCTGGTTTGGAAATTTTAAAAAAAGTTAAAAAGCTAAAAAGTTACCAAAAAAGTTAAAAAATTATCACCATTCACCAAAAAAAATATAAAAAAATTAATATACAAATATTAAAATACAAATCAACTTTTTGGCCTATCAATGTATTGACGTCAAAACAAATGCAGTGAAAGGAAAAAAAAAATTACATGTGTACATTCACTAAGTTAGATGGTAAAGTTGGGCCCATGAGGGCCCACCATGGGTTCCGTTTTGATAATCTGAGCCGTCAATATGTAGAACTCATCTAGTACTATATGCCTGTAAAAAATCACATCTATCGGATATCACTAACTACATGATCAAATCAGTTTTGTATAAAAAATGGATGGCGTTATAGTTAACAGTTGACAAAAAAAACTAACACGATCAGATAGCTATCTATATCCAATCAACGTGATTTTTAACAAACACATAGTATTTGACAAGTTCTACACATTAAACGGTTTTCGATTAGAAAAACGGGATCCGTGGTGGCCCCCACAGGCCGAACAACAGTGTCCAATCAAAACTCGAAAAGGAGGCAATCTTTTCCCATCTACTCACCCAGCCGACTGCACTGCCAACCCGTACTGCCTACTACACTGTCTTCTCCTATACACTTATTTATACAATTTTTTAATACATATTTTTTCATAAAAAGTCAAAAAGTTAACTCAAACATTCATATTTTTTTCTCAACTTTTTAGTCCAAAAAGATAAAAAATACACTTATTTAGGACACTCCAAACAACCGCTAATCCCAACCACACAATCTCTTTCAAGAAAAATTCGGAATAGTTTGGAATACCTAGAATTATTCAGTTAAAAAAGCTAAGATGCTCTATTTTCATGAACAGGAATGCAATTTGAATGCCTTATCTCAGCATAGTTACGCCCCTTCCAGCCTTCCTGGAGTTTAGCTAGGTTTAGGACTTTAACAAACCAAAATTTTCAAACTCGAATCGTTAAAAATTCATTTGAGATTAATTAGTTACGTAAACAAATCAAGTTTAAATATATTTTAAAATTTCATCAAGTTTTTAAGTTAAATTTGAATAATTTATTACTTAGCTTGACTCAATTCTATACGTTATGAAATGCCAAATTACTTGAACTCGAATCATGATTGGGTTGGTTCAAAGTGTGAACACATTTTCAAAATTTGTTAAATTTTCAATCCAAATTTAAACAAATGACTACTTTAATGGAGTTGGCAAGTTTAAAACCTTAGGCTTCGTTTGGGACGTGAGTTGATTTTTTTAACTTTTTGGCTTTTTAGTTATTTTGTCTGGGTTTAGGATCAGTTTTTTGGTTTTTTTTTGATTTTTGTGAGAGAAAAAATGAAATGATTATAGTTTAGATTTGACATTTTGTTTTATTAACTTTTTAACTTATTTTGTCTTTTTGTGATTATATATTTTAGCCAAAAAGTCCAAAAAGCTAATGTGCCAAATGAAGGCTTAGGCTATAATGTTTGGCATAAACTTTTTAATTTTACATTCAAACCATAATCATTTCATTTTTTCTTTCATAAAAGTAATAAAAGTTAAAAAGTCCATCACAAACGAAATTTTTTAGTCTCAAACTAAAATAAGTGAAAAATTAAAAAGCCGAAAAACCAACCCATATGTTAGTTGGGTTGCAACTAAAACTTAAGAATCACAAACACAATGACACCCTGTAAAGACTTGTAAAAGAAGCTTAAAAATGCTAATGCAACAGGCTTTCCACCATTGACCACTGGATTAGGGGAGCGTGAGAAACCATAGAATAAATCAAAAAAACAAAAAAGTTGGTTGAAACAAGGGGGATACTAGTAATCCTAGGTGGGTCGGTTTTGTTCTAGGAAGGATTAAAGCATAAGATGCCTAAATTAGTGGAATGCAGTCTCAGCCTTGACAAATTGATGGTGATGAAGCTCTGTCAACTTGGCCAAATTGGATTCATAAATCCAAGCAAGCAATCTGATACTCTCTCTTTGTGTGTGTTTGTGTGTGTGTGGAAGAATTTGACAGATAGTGCTAAGTGAGTCAGCTAATTCGGACACAGCCACCTAATGACATGGCCTCTCTCGCCTAATAGGCTAACTTCACATTTTAGTTTAATGAGTGCGCGTAACAGTCTTAACCATGATTCCGGCTTCAAAAACACAGTGAATCCGCACTACAACTTTGAAAATTGAAAATTGAAAATGATTCTTCAAAGCCTATTGAAGCCGACATATGCCATTTTTGAAAGAGACATAGGGCTTCACTCATTGACTTTGTTGGTTTGATTGGCAGTTGAATAGAAAATTAATGTATGAAAAAAACAGAAAAAAAAGAAAAAGAAAAGAAGTAACACGAATGCTCGTCTGAAATAGGTAAATTTTGTTGAATGTGATCAATGCTAAGCATGCCAAGTCTTTGCCCGTAATGAACTCTAGATTGCCATTTTCTAGTATACAAATCTATCTAACCATCCCAAAAAAGAGTTTATACAAAACCAGTTAGGTCTTAAAAACTCTACAAAAGAGTCTTTCATTCATTTAGAATTTGAAGCATATGACATGAAACCACTGATGGCTTTTACAAAGTTTAGTAGCTCATCCACGAACTTGATATTGCATGGCGGATTGCATCTGAAACAACGAATTGAGGGGTCCGACATGAGCACCTCTCTGTGAAGCAGCAGCAGCAGCAGCAGCAGCAGCAATCTCATATGGATACTGCAAGAAAGGGTTACGATGAGTTGAGTCAAGAACCATAACCGCTTCATCACCTTCATAGTTGGATTGGTCCAAGCAGTTGAGTGATATTTTTGATGTGGTGTGTGGTGCTGCAAGCATAGGCAGTGGAAGAGGTTCATTCTTGTTTGGGAGATGAAGAGTGGTGATGTCATGGATGCTAGGCCGCCTTTTATCTTTTGCTCCGGAATTCTGCCTAATGAAGTACTTCTGAGCATGGCTTGCCACTTGAGTTGGTGTCTTAGACTTCACAAAATTCCTCGATATATTTCTCCAGTCTCCCTTACCATGCTTTTGCAGCCCCATCAGAAACCGCCTTATATCAGTTAAAATTAATTAAAACCCACATGTTATTATGAACCAACACAGAGAAAGTACAAGTGAAAAAAAATAGAAAAAGGCCTAGTTGGGTATACGGTTTGAGTTCTCTTCGAAAAACAAATTCTCCAACCAAACAAAACAAATATATAGGAAGAGTGACAATGTAGCATCCTGTGAAAAGGGAAGGGCCATATCCACTGTTACTGACAAAAAAAAAGTTGAAATCTTTCATTTGGATATAAACATCAAATGATCAATTCATTTCTTTTATGGTTAGGACAAATTGATTTCAGCTTTTCATGGAAAGAATTCTTTTAATTTCCATGGATCCTAACACAAAGTTATCAATCAAAACAAAATTACCTGGCTTCCTATCCAAAATTTGCATAGTCATGAAGAGAACTCTCACCTGTGCTCATCTTCTGTCCAAGGTACCCCTTTCTTCCTCTGCTGATCTGAGGATCGACCTGTCAACGGCCTCTTTCTAAACCCATCAAACCCGTGATTATCCACCATCTCCATTGTGACAGAGGAAGTGACGTACCCCGGAAATGGAACCCGACCGGCTTCTATGTTACTAACATCTGCTTCCAGTTCCTTGTACCACCTCATCACATCATAGACTGACTTCCCAGGAATCATGGCCGTCACTTTTAGCCACCGGTCAGGAGTTTTCTCGTCGTACATCGCTAGAGCTCTTTCAAACCTTTTGTTCTCTTCTTTAGTCCATTCTGGGCTCTTGCTTTCTTGCATCAACATATTCAAGTTCGAAAAATACAAAGACTGGCAAAGAGTTTCCATCTAGGTTGAAATCCTTAATCTACTACTACTTGACAGTCAATATCCTTACTAGAATATTAATTCAAGTATTCAAACAGATATAGTGAAGGAATATAGTGTATGCAGAAAAAAGAGACTTGAATTCAGAATCAATTACAGAGAATCAGAATACACTTTTGCTAAATAGCATAAATTGAAGAATTTGGAAACGACTCACGTTTTCAGAATCAAGAGAATCATGATAATAATAAAATAAAAATAACTAATCTAAAACTGTAAGAGAAACTGAAACCCAGTTTGGAAAAGAGATTGATTCCCAAGAATCGGCTCAGAGAAGGTGGGAAAGTAGTTTTCTTTTCTTTACATAGCTTTATTTTGAGGCTAAATTCAACAAACAAAATAGAGGAAGAATTGTGAAAAAAGATAAGCAAGAAGAAGAGAAAAGACTATTCAGAATTCAGTAGTAGTACTGATCTTCCCTACTATGCTCATGAATGAACCCAAAGGAGAGTAGAATAAGGAAGAGAAAAAGAGACATCAAATTAACCAAAAACTTGATGAAGTTGTGCAATTGATGGGAAGTATGGGTTGTTTGCAGTTTATTATAAGAGTTGGTCAAGGGTGAGAGAACCCCCTTGGCTGCTTTGTACTGTGCTTGAGTAATCAAAAGGTATTATGTAGTAATCAAATTAACACTTTTGTGTCAGCAACTCAGCATAAAGAATTAAGGCATTACCATTGAATGAGTACTTTCTTTGCCATATGGGTGAAGGGATATGGTGAGGAAAATCATATACATAAACAGATTTCTTTTCTGATTTTTTTATCAATAGACATAAAGGCAGAGTCCAGATTCTCGGCCGCCCTTCCCGGCGGCCGTTCCAGCAGCCCCCCAAAACGACGTTGTTTTGGGGTTTTTTTGATTTTTTTTTTTCTTTCTTCTTCCTCGTTCGAACAGAACCAGAGGGAGGGGAGGGGAGGGAGAGAGAGAGGGGGAGGGAGAGAGAGAGGGAGAGAGAGAGGAAGGGAGAAGAAGAGGGAGCTGCCGGTGGGCCGGACTGGAGGGGGCCATAATCACCGGGGGAGGAGGAGGAGGAGGAGGCGGAGGCGACGGCGGATCGGGCGACGATCGGACGGCTGGCGAGCTTGACGACCTGCGACGGCGAATCCGGACCCCAAAATCCGGCGAGCTCCCCTCCCCTCCCCTCCTCTCTGGGGGGCTGCTGGGCGGCCGAGGATCCGGATTCATAAAGGCACGGGTCTCGTATTTATTAATGTGCACCCTGCTAACTTTGTGTCTAATAGGAAGAAAATCTGGCAAAATATCAATTTATGTATACAATAGTACTATTCTTTCAGTAGATGATGGGTGGGCACGGGTCGGTTGCGGCCGCGGAACCTTCAATCTGCCATCCGTCCGCCAGATTGGCGGATTGGAGAAAATCAATCCGCATCCGTCCGCCAATCCGGCGGATGGAGAAAATCAATCCGCATCCGTCCGCCAATCCGACAGATGTGGATTGAGCGGATTGGTGGTTTGGCGGATAGATGCGAATCGGTTTGGCGGTTTAAGATTTTATAAATTTTCAACATAATTCACCTTGTGCACTTCTTCAAAAAAAAGAATGTATTACAGTCAGTGACTTAAAAAATTATTATAATCACTGTATGTCTCATCCAAAAAAAGAAAGTTTGAAATTTTAAAATATCACAATTACTGCATGGCTCATCCATATATTACAATGACAGTATGATTCATCCACATAAAGTATTACAATCTGTAATTCTTAAAATATAATAACAATTCAAACTACCAAAACCATGGACAGGGCAGTAGTAGATATTGTATGTCTCTGTATTGTTACATATATATATGTTTTTGAAAAAAATTATTATAATCACTGTATGTCTCATCCAAAAAAAGAAAGTTTGAAATTTTAAAATATCACAATTACTGCATGGCTCATCCATATATTACAATGACAGTATGATTCATCCACATAAAGTATTACAATCTGTAATTCTTAAAATATAATAACAATTCAAACCACCAAAACCATGGACAGGGCAGTAGTAGATATTGTATGTCTCTGTATTGTTACATCTATATATGTTTTTGAAAACAAAAACCAACCATCATATATCATATTTTCTATTTATTATTTTTAGAGTTAAATTTAAAAACAAAAAAATATAGATAAATAATACGTTTATTTTTTTCAATTCAAAAATATATTCAAGTTGAAAACTTTTTTTCAACAGAATATTTAAACTCTTTTTCAATTGAAAACACAAACAAAATATTTAAATAAATTGAAAACACAAAGTCTTATAAATTATTAAAGGTGCTCGCGGTTTGGCGGTTCGGTTTCGGCCAAAGGAATCTCAAATCCGCCATCCGTCCGCCAAATTGGCGGATTGGAGAAAATCAATCCGCAACCGTCCGCTCGTCATCACGCATCCGTCCAAAATGCGGCGGTTCGGTTCGGTTCGGTCAATTTTGACGGATCGATATATTCACTGATCACTCCTAGATGATGGTATATGGACTCTTAACAACTATTTTGTGGCAACCTTAAACCATTATGAGAAAAGTTAATAAACCTAATAATCTTAACAACCTTGCTTCATACACCCAGTGGGGGTCGCACCCCCAGTGACGTGGCGCGCCTCCACTGGTCAGAAATCAAAAAAAAAAAAAAGAAAAACAGTTTTTTCCGAACCAACCCCCAGCTGACACCTCACTAGGTGTCACCCCCAGCTGGGGGTAGCAAGCATTTTTCTATATCTTAATAATACTTCTACATAATAATGTGAGAGCTCACATGTGCGGGGTGGGGTAGCAAGCATTTTTCTATATCTTAATAATACTTCTACATAATAATGTGAGAGCTCACATGTGCGGGGTTCACACGCCTCTCTCACATTCGTTAGAAAAATTATTTAGTGTTAGTGTCGTAACATTAAGGTAAATTACTAGCAAATCTTAATAGTTATACTTAATTTTCATTAAATTCTATCAATTCATAGCTGAAAGTTGATTTTATTAAAACCGTTGCTAAAAAAGACTTTTAGAGAATTTTTTGAACTTGTTAAAAATTAACAATGAGTGACGTTTTTTTGTAAAGATTTTTAAAACTATTTTCACTAAAATTTATAATTAGTGACGTTTTGTGGACGAATTTTTCAAATTATCACTAAAATTGATAATTAGTGAATTTTTTTTTTTAAAATCTACGTATGATGAAAGACTCTGCTATTTATCAGAGAATCTATTAAACAATAAATCCCCGGTATTATATTGGAGTACCCTGCTAAACTTTTGAGAAATTCCCTTTTGTTAATCTCTCACCATATTCCTTTAGTGATTTTAAAGAGAGCAAGATGTGGGAATTGTGTAAAATATCAGAACTAATAAATATAAAAGTGTTAATCCAATCTAATTTAGTCTATAAGTAGGGAATTTTTTTAAAGTTCTTGATATTAAAATTTTATAAGATAAAGAAAATATAATAATTTCATAGTAGTTGGGGTCTCTTAACATTTTCACAGAGAAAATTTGATTAGGAGAAATTTGTGCTCGATTCAGAGAAATTTCGAGCCCACACAGAGAAATTTTATTGAGGGACCGTAACTAATAAAAAAAGGGAGATTGACCAATAAGTCCCATATTTTGGACTTGTAATCCATATAGTCTCATATTTTTTCTTGTGATCCATGTAGTCATTTTGGATGTGTAATGACTCATTTGCCCGCCACATTGGAATGTCACATTTGGAAAAAAGTACATTAAAGAGTTTTTTAGTGTCACATAATACCCGTCACGTTAGAGTATCATATTTGGAAAAAGTACACTAAAGAGTTTTTAATTTTTTTTAGAGTGTCTCATGATACCCGTTACGTTGAAGTGTTTGTATGTCACGTTTGGAAAAAATACACTAAGGAGTTTTTAATTTTTTTAGAGTGTCACATCATACCCGTCACGTTGTCACGTTTGAGAAAAGTACACTAAGGAGTTTTATTTTTTTTGAAATGTCACATCATACCTGCCACATCATCACATTAGGAAAAAGTACACTAAAGAGTTTTATTTTTTTTGAAGTGTCACATCATACCCGCCACGTTGTCACGTTTAAAAAGAGTACACTAAGAAGTTTTTATTTTTTTGAAGTGTCACATCATACCTGCCATGTTTTCACATTAGGAAAAAGTACAGTAAATAGTTTGTATTTTTTTTGAAATGTCACATCATATCCGTTACGTAGTCACATTTGAGAAAAGTATATTAAGGAATTTTTATTTTTTTGAAGTGTCACATCATACCAGTCACATTGCCATATTAGAGAAAAGTACACTAAAGAGTTTCTATTTTCTTTAGAGTAAAAGTCTTGGAGTTTCACATCATACCGGCCACGTTGTTATATTTAGAAAAAATACATTAAAGAGTTTTTAAGTTTTTTGGGGTGTCACACTAATACCTACCACATTAAAATATTATGTCATATCTGTCATATTAATAAAATGGTACAATTGTTTATCAAAATACTACCAAAATAAAAAATAGGACTACATGGAAAGAAACTCTCCACTAATAGGACTTAACAGATCAATAAAAAAAATTTGGGACTAATTAAAATATTTATTTGTAAGATGAAATTTATTGATAAATATCCCATAAAAAGAATATTTTAAATCTCTCTTACTATATAAGGTTGGAGAGGAATAATTTTACTAATTTTCCCCTACAATTATGATTTTAGTGGCCGATACAATTGATCCACGGCTGTTCAAATATGGTGTGTTTGCTTCATTATAGTTTAATAATATTTATAATGGACAAATTAATGTGGGAGTTGGCGCCTGTAGCTCAGTGGATAGAGCGTCTGTTTCCTAAGCAGAAAGTCATAGGTTCGACCCCTACCTGGCACGATTTTGTTGTTTCACTAATATTGTTCTATAAAAACAAGACAAGATTCTTTTTTTTCTTTTCTTTATTATTTTTTGGAAAAATTAGTTATAATTTCTCTTAGGGAGACTTATACTATATATGATCCTACTAAAAAAACTTATGTTCCCATAAGTCCTGTGAGAAGTTTGTTAACAAATTTATCCTCAATATTAGTTGTTAATATCATAAATAATAGTAAAACCATATATAGGAAATTGAATGTTACCATAGATCATATCTATATAAAAGTAACGTAAAGAGACACCTACATAAACGTAACGTGACACCTATGATCTATAGTAACATGTAATTTTTTATACATATCTACATAAACGTAACGTAACGTGATACCTACATAAACGTAACGTGACACCTATGATCTATGGCAACATTCAATTTCCTATATATCTATGGCAACATTCAATTTCCTACATAGGAAATTGAATGTTGCCATAGATCATACACTACAAAAAAAATTATTTTTTGCGACGGCAAAACGCCGTCGCAAATACTCCAAACGCCGTTGCTAATAGTTTTTTGCGACGGGGATCAGTTTTTTGCGACGGCAGGTGGGGGGTCGCAAGAGAGGGGGTTGCAAAAGGGATTTAGCGACGGCAAGAGCCGTCGCAATTGTTTTTGCGACGGTAAAAAAACATTTTTTGCGACGGCAAAATTCTGTCGCCAAAAAACTATGAAAATCTGTTTTTTTGCGACGGTAGAGACTTGCCGTCGCTAAAGGAGTTTTGTCGACTGCCTAATCCCGTCGGTAAAAGTATCGTTGCTAATGACCATTGGCGACGGCAACCTACGCCGTCGCTAAAGGTCTTATTCTCAATTTAATACCTACCTTTTGCGACAGTATTTGAGCCGTCGCAAAAAGGTTAATACCATTTTCTTTTGCGACGGGGGAGCTCCGCCGTCTCAAAAAAAAATTTAAAAAAAAAAATCCCTGTACAAAAATAATTAAAAATATAAAAAAACCTGTATTAAATGAAAAATAACTAAAAAAAATCTAAAAATTACATAATAATATAAATACATATATAAACAAAAGACGGCACATGATGAACATTCATAATGTTGTTCCATTAATAACAATACAGAAATAAAAATTATACCACTACATAATGTCGCATAATACATACATAATATTGTTCACAAATTTAAATAACATAAATCAAAATCAAAATCAAAACCAAAAGTTTTCGTCTTGCTTCCTTCGTGGGTTCAAAAAATAAAAGCTGATTATAATCTTTATACACCCGCATTCCACAAGAAGCAAACTGCAACTAAGGAAATATCTGAAAAAAACAAAATAAAAATAATTAATAACAATATAATGGTGTTAATATTTTAATTACAGAAAAATATAAAAAAATTAACTACTATATAATTACAAAGATAGTTTAGTAAATAATTTTCACTAGACAGAAATCCGACTCTAACTCCCAAACCGGGAACCCGATTCGAGCCCCGTCTTCTCCCACAAGTCTCTCGTGCCTAGGCGGTCGTGTGTGCCAAGTTTCGTGCCAAGAGACGCCCCAAAGAATGCGAACCTCATTAGCCAGGCGTCGATCATGTGCGCCACTAAGACTGAAGGCACACCACAAGGCGTCACACCCGAGCCAAAGCTACGGACATGAATCCGTGTGCAGAAGCATTCGCTATAAACAGAATCGAAGGGTGCTACATCATTCGGCGTTTTTCTTGGACTTCTAAAAGGCGCGGGAGTGACTTTAGGGGGCGAGAGAGCGAGGTCTGGATGAAAAAAAACTTTAGATACTCCAGAACGTGTGCTTATATCTAGAAGCTTTCACCGATAAAATCTATACCAATTAGCGGTTATCGCCTCTGCTGGTTCTCGGCACCGAAAAATGAAAGGTCATAGGGCGACACAACCAACGACGCAGCGCCTATCGCGCACTCGAAGACCTTGTGAGGAGACAACGACGGGATGCTTGATATCGGCTTCCCCCCCTGGTTTTTGGGAGGTTCACGAGACCTTGGATTTCACTTTAGGTGGAGCAAACAGCGTTCTTAAGCAAACTAAACCTCCGAAACTCGAAGGTGTATACGTCGCACACCAAAATCACAACCCAACGGCGTCGCATATTAATATATATATACAGGAGAGAGAGAGAGAGAAGGAGAGAGAGAGAGAGAGCAAACCTGAGTTGCTGTCGTCGTCGAAGCACCGCCGCTAGCCTTCGACCGTCGTCGTCGCCGCACCATCGCACCACCGCTAGCCCTTCGCCGTTCGTCGCCGGTCGCTTGGTTTGGGGATTTTGGGGAAAATTGAGCGGCAAGATGAGAGGGATTTCTATCGGACACCGCTAGGATTTTTAGGGATTTTGTGCTTCAAATCAATTTTAGGGATTTTGCGATGGAACACGAGCGGCAGGATAAGAGGGAAGGGGGAAAATTGTTTTTTACATTTTGCGACGGTACGGTTTACACCCGTCGCAAATTATACAAAACGATTAATAAACGACGCCGTTTTAATAATCATTTTTGCGACGGACTTTGCCGTCGCAAATGGCCGAGTATTTGCGACAGCAAACTTTTGGCCGTCTCAAATATTTTTTTTTCCCGACGGTTCAACACTTGCCGTCGCTAAATAGTTCCTGATTTTAATACTCGCCCGTGCAGTTTATTACGACGTTAAACGCCGTCGCTAAAACTACTTTTTTTGCGACGGTTATTTTTGCCGTCGCAAAATACCATTTTTGGCGACGGGGATCGCGCCGTCGCTAATAATTCCGTCTTTTTTGCCATCTTTTCTTGTAGTGGTTTAGCACTTTTTTATTTTTTTTTTTTTTTTTATTTTCTTAAATAGAAGTATCAGTAAACCCAAAAAAAAAAAAAAAAATGGAAGGTATGAAAGGAACCCTCACAAGGTCTTTTCACTACGAGTTCACAAGCAAAATCAACAATAATTTACATACCTGAGGAAATTGTACAAACAACAATTAACAAACTTAACAAATTAATCAATAAGTTCCTTCCACCTACCAAATTTTAGTTCAATATAGCCCAATCCTTCAACAAAACTCTCCTTCAATAACACTGGGTTTCTTACACCCCACCATGACTTTCATCAATAAACCCAACTAAGATCCAAATCCAAAGCTTACCTCACTTGTACATCGTTGACATAAAAGCTTTTCATCTCAGAACCTCTTCTTCTTTTCGTTTATGGTTTATAAATTTT